CAGACGCAAAACATTTCAGAAACCGTATGTATCAAATACGATACATTTGGCATTATAGGGTTAAACCTGGGTTTGAATGGAGACTAAGCCATTCTAAAGCACATATCAAGGTGCTCATTTTTAGCCTGGATTGATATTTACTTTGGATTCTGTTCATGGTGGAGAATCCTGCTTCACAGCAGCAGGTTGAGCCAAACATCCTTTAAATGTGCAGCACGCCATTTCCCTTCTTCCAGCAGTCCACACTTTCTCTGCTCTCTTTTTCTCATGGTCTTCTCCTTCTTTCCCATCGCCCGGCTTGCCACAGGTTTGCCTGCTGTGTCTAAAAGTAGCAGCAGCAGCAACCCAGACTGACAGCTCATTGGATAATTTGGATCACGTGCAGCCTGGAGCCGGACACGCTGGTGGGCTTTACCGTATTAACAGGAGAAGAGGCGCAAGTGAAGTTAGTCACTGTCCTCGGACAACATGCGGTAATTTATAAATGTTTAAAGCCAGGTTTGGTCCGGATCCGGACCCCGGTCCGCTCATCTGTGACCTCTGCACTAAACCATCTATCAACTTTTATATATGTATGCATCCAACCACAGCAATACACCTCCATTTGTTTTTGTTTTTTATTTTCTAATAACTCCTACTTACTCCTTATTAAAGCCCAAGTGATACTTTTCTTTTTTTTAATCAAAGCCACACAAACTCAAACACAGCATGTTTGCACATGGAGCTGTTATCTGAGGTGCTACAGCAGCTTTAGCATGCTCATTCTGTTTAGTTATGACTTGTTGATCATTTAGCTCAGAGCGTAGTGTGTCTCAGTATAAATAGTGCTATTTTGATCCTTTGTATTAAACTTAGAGATCAGGAGAGTAGCTAATTATAGCCTTTATTAACTGTAAATGTAATTTTACAAAGTAAATGTCACTTTATGTCAACAAAAAGTTGCAATTCTAGCTCTTAATACTTTTCAGTTTGATAAAAGGATTTGGATAAACACATGGGAAACACTCAGCAAACCATCCATGTAAATTAAAGAATTGATGTCATAGGGGGGGCGTGTTTACCTTGGCAGTGCGTATGTATAGACTCAGCACTTCAGCTCTGATCTTCAGCGTTTGGGCGTGGAGGATCTCTCTTACCACCCAGAAACTCGTCTGGAAAAAAAAAAACACAACAGGTTTACTGGAATGAGCAACACTTAAAAAAAATCCCCCAAAAAGAGTTCAAGGAAACGATAAGAAGTTCTAGACTCCAAAGCAGAATAAGAATTTCAGATAAATTACAACAGGGATTGTTCTCCATCACTAGATCTCTCAATCTTTGAGCCAAAAGCTGCAATAAGCTATGACCTCACAGGACAGATCATAAACAGTTCTGCTCCATTTAGGTCAATAAGAAACCATCTCTGGATAAAAGGATCAGAATCAGTTGGCAGATCAGTTTCCACTGGTAGATATGACGCATCATAAGCCTGTGGGTAAAGGAGGTAAAAACGACATGTGTTTGTTCACAGGATTCAGCCAGACAGTGATGGATGTCGGAACTTTGTCTCTTTAGGGAAGCTGACAAATTTCTGGTAACACATACGCAGTTAAAGCAGTCAGCCAATCAATCTGGGCTAAAACCATCGGGGAACCTTTGGAAGAGGGTGAGCGAAGAGGGAGAGAGTTAAGTTCAGGACAGCAGTTGTCTGGACATTGTGTTCTGGAAAAATAAAACAAGCAGTTTCACAATTGTTGTGTCTTTTTCCAAGATGATCGTACTTTTAACCATGATAAATAATTAATTAAATCTCTCTTTTATATCCTTTTTTTAATACAAAAAATATATATATTTTTTCCATACAAATAAGATATGAACGAGTCCTTTTCTGTCAGTAACTTTCCATCAAAGTTGACAAACATCCCATGTGGGGTTCCCTGAGGCTCCGTCTTGGCGCCCGCCTATATTTTTATCTAAATGCTCTGCCATAGCTCAGGTTATAACAATAACTCAGGAGAGATTCCACTGCTCTATACTACAATGTCTCCAGGTGACAATGAACCTATCAGCTGCTCAGTAAACGCAGAAATCAGTGCACAGGTGTGCCAGAACTTTCTTAAGTTAAATAAAAGTAAGAACTGATGTCATTTTTGGACCAAAGCTGTAGAGATTGACTCAGACCGGGAACCTCCAGTCACAGAAAGACACTAAAAATTCTATAACATGCAGAACATTTCTAGGATTAAAGGACTCAATTCTCAGCAAGACCTGGAAAATACAATCACCGCAATGTTGTTACACACAGGTCTGCTTAAAAAGTCCATCCCACAGCTGCAGCTGATCTAGAAATCCTCATTAAAAACTACAAATTATTCTTATGCTAGCTCCCTGTTTCTCAGAGAACTGGGGTTCAGTTGAATGTAGTCACTCCTTCATAAAAGGTCTGGAAGAAAGGAGGGAAACAAACTCCGGTATGTTTAAACTGGAACAAGATCTAAAGCCCCTGTCACACCTCCACTATTTATCCAGCGTATGCCTGAAATCCCACAATCTTCTAAAACGCTGGCATACGCTGGATTTTCAAATAGAAGTCTGAACAAGTCCAGAGCGCATGTCCAACGACAGCCTAACTTATGCATAACACAAGGCAGCCTCATGCCTATGCCTCCTGAGAGGGGCAGCGATGTGCCCGGAGGCGCCCGGTCTGCATAAAAAGATTTATCTGATTTCAATATTAACCTAGCAGCTGTTTACCTCCTGCCAGAAAAAATAAATAAAAGTATAATGAAAGAGAAAGGAAGAAGGTTTGCAGTGGCAGCAGATTCAGCGCCATGTCTGCTGGGAAGTTTGCTGGTCGTAGGAGTGAACGCATCACTCCCCTTCTGGCTCACCCTATGATGGGGATGAAGCCTGGAGGAGAACTGATGGTTTCCTCCTGTGAACCCCCTTTATACCAAAACGCTGCCATTACGCCATTATACAGTAGCTGGAAGTTAGAAACACGTTCAGCGTTCAGATACGATGATATGCGTTGGAAATGCATGCTCAAACTTTCTTGACGTACTCGCCGTATGTCGACGTGAGCCAGCGTGTTTCACCATGCTCATGACTTTTGCCAGATTTTTCATACGTCAGGCATAAGCTGGTCTAAATCGTCAAAGTGTGACAGGGGCTTTAAGATGTGTTCGACTTCTCAGAATACCTGGACTGGATCCTTCAAGGACCATGACAGTATGGAGGCTGGAAGAGTTATGGCTATGGATTCAAACAGGTCCAGCTTTCTCCGGCTTTCACTGCCCGTACGTTCTGTCGCCTACCAACCGTGACGGTTCACACACAAAGCAGGCAAAGAATGGATGCCGAACTTCTCACTACTGTTCTGGGCGCTAGTTACATTTTTAAAGAGCTTCAGCAGCAGTTTTTCAGCAGCAAAGATAATGGGCGTTTCTCAATATGCGTTCTTGAGCGTTCTCGTGTGCTCGTGGCACGTCATCAGCCTCAGCCCGAGTACCGTTCCAATTCTCGAGAATGCCAGATCGAGAACGCATCAAATCCCCGGATGTTGTTCTCACCCTGCCCTCTTTATCGAGCATGCATCAGAGCAGACTTGTGCGTTCTTCAGACTGACCGCTTCCCCAGAATGCCCCGCGGCCGCAGCTTGATTCCAGACAGCGCTCACAGTGGTAAGTTAAACATTCCCTTTTCTGCTGCTGTTGTTCTTCAAAAGTACGTTTTGAAATCGTTTGAGGCGATAACATTATACATTTAAGCCTCCCTGTGTGGCCTGTTTACAGAGTTAGTGTGAAATTTTTAAAAAAGTCCGACGTTGAGCGGACCAGAGTGACCAGCAGACCTCCGAGGGTAACCGCAGCCAGGGCTAAATTTACCCCGTCTGTAGTGCACTTCTCTCGGTCTAGTTATGTGATAACTACCGCTCGTTCTGATGGCGGTTTTTTGCTGTTCGGTAATTTTTTTTAATGTTTTTTAAGCTTTAGAAATTAAAAATATTGTTTTCAAAATGTTTTGTGTAGGGAATAAATAGTTTTGACTGTTAAAGAAATGCTAAACAACGTTGCATGTGATGACGTCACGAGTACGCTTCGGTTCCAATAAACATACGTGCTTGTGTGCTCGCGTTCTTGTCAAGTCCGATCTTCCTGCATTCTCGCCAAGAACGGACTTGACGAGAACCCGAGTACGTACTCGCGTTCTCGTGAATTGAGAAACGCCCAATATTTCTAGTCCCAACACTGCAGAGCTACTGGAATCTGTCAGCCAAAGCCATTTACACAGGGACAGATAAAAACCAAACTGCCACATATCTGACTCAATAATCATTTAGAAAAAATATTTTCATTAATTTTAGACTAAACTATTGACATACTTGTATTTTATTAAACTGCAAGTACAAACTTTACCACTGTTTGGCACCAAGTACCGTTTTCCTCTGAGCACAGAGCAGCAGGCTTGCTAGGACTCGCAATGAATTGTGGGATACCAAAGGCTACGCCGAATAAACCAGACCCTACCTTCAAAACGGGCAAAAAGAAGGCTGGATGTGTCGGCCGCATAACGAGGAGTCCTCTAACTGAACAAAGCTCAGACACGACATATTTATGACATATTTGGACACCGAATCTGGCCTTTGGAGGACACAGCTGCTGAATTCAGACTCAGTATTAGTGAATTTTTATTTAGTATTCTATTCATATTATATTCATTCTATATTTTAATTTAGGTTGTGTATTTTATTATTTTAAAAGTATTAAATTACATTATGTTGATTTTATTACAATTAATCCCATCACAATATTCTATATATTAAAAAAAAAAATCAAAATTTGCAAAGTAATTGTTTTAACAATGTGTTCTGAATATTCTCAATCTAGCACTCCTATATAATTGACAGTTTATCCAAAATGAAAGTCAGTAATTTCCAGATAGCAAAGTGTGTAAAATGAGCTCAAATGAAAAAGAGCCACAGACAGAGAAAATTTCAAGCTCCAACAAGACAAACCTAAACTTCAATAGCGCTCATCCTTTCACTTCCTTCACCGTTTTATATTTTCCTGGTTTTGTACGTTCCAATGAGTAGGCGGCCAGCACAGGGACCCAGCTGTTAAATTGATCAGATATCTGGGCGGCTGAGAGCATTACAGAGCAGTTTCTCTGTGTGACCAGACTGATGTTTTAGCCTCTAACAGGGAACATGTGTGAAAGGTTAGATGTGAAATACACGCTGGCTCAGATGTACCGTATGTACCTACTAATGTTAACCATGGCGACAGGCAAGTAAAAAAATGGAAATCTCAGTTTTGGTTTTTATTGCCATTAGGAGATACCTGTGGTAGATTCTCTCACACACACTTTGTAGGACGGTGCCTCAGCTTCTATTAGGAGTCATGTACATGTTGTTGTTCAGGTGTTTACTGTTCATTAGTTGATTTAAGACAATTTGTGAATAAATATTAGGGATGCACGATATAATCGGCCCCCTA